AGTCCATCAATGTTAGCATAAAAAATTGGACTTGCAAACTTGAGAATCTTCACACCTTCTGGTTCTATAACCTGTTGCCAAAGAAAATAAGGTTTAGCAGCAACAACTACATTTTGACTAATAAGAAGTAGTTTAACTGTTTCAACAGTTCAACTACTTATCTAATTCACAAAAATTGCATATATTTACTGATAATTTAGTGGATTCAGTTTTCAGAAGCTTACAGCCCCAGCATCAATAAGGACCAACTGTCTGAATCAAGATGAATTTAATGCTGAAACTTGTTATCTTCAAGGACTCCACTTCCAAACTCAAGTCCACAATAGGTAAAGCACAACTTTTTCTAACACTGACCTGTGGGCTGAAGGGAAACAACTCAGCAATTACTTACATTTTTGTAGTCCTTGACCTTCTTGTAGATGTCTGTGCCAGGAATGTTTCCAAAGCCTCCCCATGAGGGACTAACAGAAACAAAAAGAAAAGATATTGCAGATGAACATCATACGTGGGCCCTCACAGAATTGAAGGGATGGCTGCATACAAACTGTCTCAGACTCTCATAGTTTTCTTTCTAATGCCAAACTAACAGACTCATTGCAGAAGTGTCGGATCTATTTTCTGTCACTGTAGTGAATGGGCCTTTTAAGGGCAAGGTACTTCGGTCTCAGCCTACTTGCTGCACCATCTTGATTTAGATCTGAGTGAATAACTGGTTCAATTTGTTTCCCACACCAGAAAAATATTTCAAAAGCACATTAGTTTGAATTAAAAAAACAAACCAAACCAAACCAAACAAACCCAAACAATTTTTCTACTCTGAAAAAAAAAATTCAATTCTAATCAACTGAAACAATACATTTACATTCTTTTCAGTTATGTAAATCTTTTTGTCGCCCAACCTTTTTATTTCAGTCAATATTAAAAATATTTTGCAGTCTCCTGATATAAATTTAACAGTTGAAGCAAATTGGTTTGAATTTTGTAAAGCCTCATCTCCCTTTTATATTTTGATTACATATATCTGAATTGAATTTGGGAATTTTTTTTGAGGTTCTTCAAGTTCCATTTTTTATAATCTACTACTATGTAACAACTTTTGCAAGACTTTATTTTTATGCATTTGCTGGCAGGGCAACTATCCACTGGTAATGCTAGTAACCATATTGTGTGGATTTCAGGCTGAAGGTAAGGAGTTATTTTCAAACAAATCGTATTTTCAAATAAAAGATCAATGGTCAAATAAGGTCCTTCAAATCTACCTTTTCTCACCATTCTACTACCTTATGTTCTGTAATCAACAAATCAGCCACAAGCACAAATTTTTTCTTACTCTCATGTTTTCTCTTGTTCTTCTTTTACAGGCATACAGTCTTGCATAAGCACTAAGTGAAAAAGTTACTGGCATGTGCAACATGCTGTAGTGCTATTACCTGCTAAGAGTTACTATAATGATCACCTAATTACAGAAGCCACACATCTGTTTATATTTTATCTGGAATGCTCCTGTCCCTTTCCAGAACTCTGTTATGGGCTACATAGATAACACATGGCTAAGTACCACCAGAATGGCCAGCATGATATGAAATAAATACTGATAAAATAATGCAGCTTCTCTTTTTTCATTTTAATTAAATGATAGCATACAAAGAGTGTTTTTTTCTTAAAAAATAGGGTTTTTTTAACTTCAACATTTTTGTAAACCCAAGCAGATTTTCTGCCACAAATCATCATGCTTTTCAGCATATGCTATTCCTTTTTCACAGTATAACACTAAGAATTACTTCTGATCTTGTGTTACTTACAACTGAACTCTCAGCACAACTGTCAGCAATCCAAACAAAAGGCCAGCAAGTAATCCCAAATCAAGTCCCAGAATGATGGATGCTATACATGTAAAAACCCAGATCATCTGGAAAGGAAATAACAAATGTAAAGTCTCTGAATTATAACATATGACTCCTGGTCACACTAAAGAATCACTAGACCAGACAGCGTGAGTAGCAGAAGAATTTAACTTTGGAGATGATTGCAGCACAGTGGCAATTAGCTGACTTCCATTCAGAAGTCTTCCTCTTCATTTAAGATGCTCCTATCCATCACTATCTTATCAGGCATAGCTAGCTTTTTAGGAAATAAGGTGGGTTTTTTAATGTAACAACATTTTTCAAGGATCCAGTTACTTTGGTGAAATTTAAGGAGATGCAGTTAACCATTGCATTTACTTCTTTCTATGGTGGCAATATTTGTTAATCTTTCTTTAGAAATCGGAAAGAATTTATTTTACCAGTAAAATACCACAAAATGCCCCACCTGCAGTCAAATCAGTAGGGAAGGGGGTTCCTCAGTGATATTTAAGAATCAGAACTGTTGCAAAGAGAGGTATTTCATATCAACAGGTTGATGGCACTCTCTAAAGTCTGCAGTGAATATTCAGGCAGAACAGTTGAAGTGCACTCCTCAGTTCCTTCCTACGTCACTGCCCAGGCAGAACACGCAGTAGACTCAGTCTTTCAAAAAGCTGAGTGCTCACACTTCTCACTGAAGTCAGGGGGATTTTTGCCTATAAACTAGTAAATGATTGACTAAAATACCTCAGATCTGTCTAAGGTAGGTACTGCCCAATAACACTAACTGTAAAATCTAAGCACAGTAAGGACTGCATGGAGAAGATGTCTTCCATGCAATCTTTTCCTGCCCTAACAACCACAGTGAAGGTCTATTCCATGGAAAACACAGTGGGATATGTGAGCAAGTACCCTGAGGTATGGTTATAGTGGTTCATAAAAAAAGTCTGTTAATACATCCCTTAGCATGCCAAATGAATCCACATTCTAGCTTGGATTAGTCTTGCTACAAGGAGAAAACATATTTTCTGAGGACTACCTGAGATTATCCAGGCAAATAGGATGCTAATGTGGTAACAATATATGTACATGAATTAAGGAAAGGTCAGCTTATTTGACTCATTTAAACTGTGCAAAAAATAAAATCAGAATGGTAAAGGTGGCAACTGGTCATCTTTATTCTGCTTTTCAAGCCATATCAACACAAGATTGCTGTGTCATCACTGCACACAAATACCCTGATTGGGACCCTTACTTGGGGTATAGGGAATAAAGAAGATTAGCAGAATACTATGTAAAACTCTAAAATGGGGAATTTTTAACTGACTTCATGGCACTTACATTTCGAGGATGCACATAGAAGTTTGATGATGTTAACTCTACAAAATCCTGTTTATGTGGTAGTTAGAGGAAATTTGATGGCATTAAAAAGCTAAAAAAAACTCAACACCCCCCTCCAAACAAAACAAAATCAAAACAAAAAACCCAGAAACAGAAAAAAACCTCCCGGAGGAAAGAAAAAATTAGGCTACTTACAGCATCCACTTTATTCTGTCTCCACAGACGGGGAACATCAAACACTTGCATGAACATCCCTTTCAAGTTAGCTATGACTACAGCTGCCAACACAGACTGTGAACAAAAATGATGAAAAAGTGGTATTCAGAATCAAAGGTGCATATTAAGATAGTGCTCGACATTATACACTATCAACCAAGCCTTGTCTGCAGTCAATCACCATAGTTTATAGAGAGATATCAATTTTGCCCATCATAGTTGAGCATCTGCATCTGATGTGTCTGTGCTGCAGAGGAAGAGTACAGTACCTTTTGTAAGGGCTCTAGCAATTTCCCCAGGGCAACAATAGAAATCAAAACAATCCCAGCTGAGATTATACCAGCAACCTGCAAAGAACAGAGTGCTTATAGGATACGAACTTATTAAGACTCTATCATATGTTTCTAGGATTACAAAGACAAAGGTACGAGTAGTTGCACATTCATTTATTTAGGAACAAGGAGACCCTCCAAAATGTCATTGTATTTAGGCATATGTGGGCAATCATTATAGACACTTCAGCTAACACAGAGGAAATTCAATCAAGCAGGTCGTCTAAACAACTACATGCAAGGCAGTAGCTCTCAGAGGGGTTATATTACACAGACATGAATGGAGCAGTCTGTGTCTGTGCCTCAGCTGGAAAAGGGGGTTGCTGGTTCTCCAATGTTCTCCAGTGTTAAAAAATGCAAAACTGTAGTACTGTTGAACAAAGTAGCTTACTCAACATGAGAAAGATGGCACATGGTCTGATGGTGAATGGCAAATGGCAGCATTGCTCAGGCCACCACATGGGAGCTTCAAAATAGCATAGCCAGCTGGGAGAGATTTCCTCCCTCATTCTGAATCCCTACTGTGACAAACTCAGTCCTTTAACTGGGAATGAAATTCTGGGGAACTAGAGCTGAAGGATTTCTGACCCCTAAGGTAACTCATGGTATGTAAAACTTGATTGCCCTCTTCTGGCAGAGCTACAAAAATGATCCACTACCAGAGCACAAGCTGCTAGCTAAGATACCTGTGCCTTTCCATGTGCCAGCAACACAGTCATTTTAGGACTATTTTCATCCCTCTGTGAAATCTGTGTACTATCTAAAATAAATTTACCTGTGCACAGTACTACTAAGAAGAGGTCATTACCTGAGTCTTTCCACCAGTACTTTCTTGGACTGCAGTCCGTGAAAGAGCAGTAGTTGCAACAAAACAAGAAAAGGCACCTGAAAAAATGTTGCTGAACCCAAAGGCAATAAATTCCTGAAAGATAATTGGATGATGTTGTAAATACAGATGCCTGAAGATAGTTCTGCAATGGAGAATGACACTAGCTTCTGCAGTAGTTGATAAAGTAGATACATAATAATACTGAGAAGGGTATGAACTAGTAATAGCTGTTAAATGTTTACACAGATTCCTTTTGTGCCAGTGCAGCTACCTCTGTTTGAAAACCAATACAAAGAAGTTAGTATAATCCCCTTGACATGGACATACTTGTCTGAGTATAAAGGCATTTA